AGAAGGTGCAGAATTTTCAGTAAATTTAAAAGATATGGTATTTGTGTAAAATGAATTTTAGAATTTACCAAGAAGGAGGTGAAAGGGGATCTCTCACTCCTCTCAACAGGGATTACTTTTTTGCTGAATTCAACACAGCATAAAGCACTTTTACAGTATGTTCTATATCAGGGGTCACCAACCTTTTTAAGGCTGAGGGCTACTTCATGGCTACCGAGTCATAGGAAGGGTTACCAATACTGACCTATGAACTGGAGGGATCAGTGTTCACCTACAGTAAATCTCATCCATAAAAACTAATTTTTATTCTTATTTTATTCTTTTATTCATTTCTAATTTTCTTTTTAATATTGTCATTTTGAAACCACTGAAATATGATGAAATAGTTAACATGATGAAATTATACATAAATTATTAAAAAGAAGAGCAATAGAATAAAAAAAAATTAAACTTAACCCACTGAGTGAGTTCTTCTGTTTTCAGAAGACGAAGAGGGCACCCCATGTGGTCCTTGAGGGCCCTTTGGTGCCCCCGGGCACCACGTGTGTGACCCGTGTTCTATATATTTGCACCAGTTTTAAGACATGCAAACCTAAGGGTGGGGGTAGTAGACAAAGATACATTGTTCATGTTTTTTTATATCTTTTTATATATCTCGCTTTAGTCACTTTTCTCATTTTTTTTAAACTTTTGTTCGAAAATCTTTGAGACAGGCTACCAACACTCACTGGACACTTTATAAGGTACATTTGTCGGCTGCACATCTATGATGTAAATCTCCCTTTCCACCACATCCCAGAGGTGCTCTATTGGATTGAGATCTGGTGACTGTGATGGCCATTTAAGCAAAGTGAACTCACTGCCATGTTCAAGAAACCAGTCTGAGATGATTCAGGCTTTATGACATGGAGTGTTATCCTGCTGGGACTATGCATCAGAAGATTGGTGCACTGTGGTTATAAAGAGATGGACATAGTCAGCAACAATACTCAGGTATCCTGTGGCGTTGACTCAATGCTAAATTGGTACTAAGTGGCCCTAAGAAAATACCCTCCACACCATTAGACTACAACAAGCCTGAACCGTTGATACAAGGCAGGATGGATCCTGGCCCTACCATCCGAATGTTGGAGCAGAAGCCGAGGCTCATCAGACCAGATAACATTTTTCAAATCTTCTGTTGCCCAATTCTTTAGGGTCTAGTGTGAGTGAGCTTCCTGTCACAGAGGGGATATTTGCTGGTGGCTGGGTCGACCTGTGTTACTGCACAACTGAGAACATTTCTCAATCAAGATGGCTAGCGTGTATAAGACAAACGATCATCTCTCTATACCCCTGATGGTATTTCAACCAAAGATGTAAACCAGGAATATCTTCTCCATAAAATTTGTCTTCTTGTGAATCTCTTTAATGTGTACTCTGTGATTGTTCTAAACAACAAACAAGTGGACCTCAGTTTGTCTCTGACCTTCACGGAAAAGGTCTTACCTGTGTCCAGCAGTTCTCAGTCTTCATCATCTGCCTGTCCCCTCAATAGTACGACGTCTCTTGTAAGTACCAACACTATCGGATCCCACTCACTTTCTGCTGAACATCTGGGGTACAGTATGCAGAGCCCGCTTAATCAAATCACTACAGATCCATGCTACCTCCCCTTCATCTCTCAAGTAAGAAAATCAGTCAGTCATCAGTTTTCATCAACCAACTCCTTACTGATCAGTCTGCTTACTTCCCTCAGACCAACCAGAAAGTTCAACAAACTTCCTGCAGTTCTGCGCTTCCAGACTTTTTTTGCTTTTGAAAATAAAACGTTAAAAAATGTGGTTCTCCGTGTGATTCTGCATGTGTGTCAATAAATTGTAAAAACCAACATGACAAATTTTGGTCAGCCTAAGCAAATTGTAGCCTCAGTTTCCTGTTCTTAGCTGACAGGAATTGGCACCTGGTGTGGTCTTCTGCTGCTGTAGCCTCAAGGTTTGACATGTTGTGCATTCAGAGATGCTCTTCTACATACTTTAGTTCTAACTAGTGGTAATTTGAGTCATTGTTGCCTTTCTATCAGCTTGAACCAGTATGGCCATTCTGATCTGACCTCTGGCATCAAGAACTCACTTGCGCCTACAGAACTGTTGCTCATTGGATGTATTCTCTTTCTGGACCCTTTTCTGTAAACAGAGAGGGTTATGCATGAAAATCCCAGTAGATCAGCAGGTTCTGAGACACTCAGAGAAGACAATATGACACCAACAACCATGCCATGTTCAAATAAACTTAAATCACCTTTCTTTCCAATTTAGATGCTCGGTTTGAACAGCAGCAGTTCGTCTTCACCATGTCTGCATGCCTAAATACACTGAGATGCTGCCAGGTTACAGTACTGATTAGAAATTTTCGTTAACAAGCCTCTGGACAGGTGTACCTAATGAAGTGGCTATTGGGTGTATGTCAAGTTTTCTTTGTATTTATTATCAGTATTACAATTTGTCTAAATATTTTTTCTTTATTATCTCCAACTAGATGGTTTCGTGTCTTTTACAAATTTTTAAGTAAAATTCCCTGTTTTTGGACTTGGTACACGGCTGTCTTCAAAATAAAAACATATAGATCTCATGTTATACTTTAAATATGATATCTCCCTAAACTTTTTCATGTGTTAATGTCAAAACTTCTTGGTATGTTTGGCACAAACACAGCTCAGTATATCACCAGAAGGACAGCACACTCTTTTTTAAACATACTAGTGGTGGTAGCGTCAAGCTCTCTGGTTACCTTTGTGTCAGATGGATCTTTATGGTCAATTTGGATATTAAAATTAATGCCAGACAGCTTTGTTTTTGTTTTTTTCAATTGTACACCTAAAATTTTAGGCATACAATAGAAAGTTCAACAGTAATAGTAACATTATCTTTAAGTATCAATGTGAGTCCAAACATTCATCGATATTATTAAGACACTGACTCTAATAAAAATTAAAAAAAGTAGTTTTAGATTGGCCAAAAATCTAAAGACCTTATCTGCCATAAATATTATTTCAGTTAAAATTAACTTAAAATGTGTATTAGTAAAAGGATTTACAAAATTGCACCACAAAATGAAAGATGGCTTTTCCTTTCTTTTTCTATTGAAGTTTGTCTTACAAGTAGGCAGGTTGACGTATTGATCCTGATGAGCAAAAGTCACACGCTGCTGACCTCACCAGGGCTGATCAGCTCCAGTCCCAGGGCAGTAGCATCACAGTATACTTTCACCTCGGATGCACAGTCATCAGATGACTGACGTTCAGTCCTCTGACACTTTCTTTTTTTCGTTTATTACTCAGGCCAGCCACAAGCAGAGCAGTGGCTCTGTTCCTTTGAGGTTCGGTCAGCTATGACATTGAGCAGACGTTTCGGGTAGATTTCTCTCAGCAGCCATTTTAACGTGCCAGATCAGACAATTTTTAGATACATTTCACCCAAGGATGAAAAAAAAGCTTCACAGTTCAAAAATAATTATTCTCCATTCTCCCTTCATTTGCTTTGTTGGGAAATTTAAAAGATTTTGAAAAAGACTAACCCTTTGAAATTTTCGCCATTTTGTCTTATTTCACCCATAAACACATATTTTTACATGAAAAACCAGATAAAAAGAAGTATATAATATGAAAATAACACAAGAGTCTTATAACCCAGAAAAAACCAAACAGGGAAAAAAAAATGGAAAGGAGTTTAAAAAAACAAAACAACATTCCAAGTTTTAAAATCTCTTTTTATGAGGGTAGACAATGGTGCACAAATCACAGAAGCAGTCAAGGCATCATAAGGTTCTCCAGGAGGAGCTGCAGAGACGCCCTTTTTGAAGAAGACAAAAAGGACTCCTGTTTGTAGTTTGCTGCCCTGTAATATATGATAAAAATATTGCATTTGGGATATCAGTCCACATCACCCATGGGTGGTGATGAGGCATTATGCTTTGGAGACAAGCTAATCAGATTCAGTGGGATGATTGATGGAATTAAGGACAGAGAAATCCTAGAATAAATCAAGGTTGCAAATGACTTTAATCTTTCCACAAAACCACCAACATGAACGCAAAGACAAAGCAACTGATTAGTTTGAACAAAATATATTAATGTGGAAGATTATCCAGCTAAAGCACTGAGCAAAATCAGTTTTTTTAATTACTTTTATTTATTTTATAATTATTTTTTTAAAACAGTGTCCTGTCTGGTGATGTGGTGATAAGAATAATTGTCTTGATGCCAAAGAAGGGCCCAACAGATTTTACTTTCACAAGTGGAGCAGTACGGCTATTGCCATAGTGTTCTGCTTAATTTATAGCTTTATTATAATTCACGAAGGGAGTTTTACAGATTTTATGGACACTGCAATGGAAAAAAAAGGAGAAAAAGTAAGAAAGGGGAGATAAAAGGGAGATAACGATTAAACATCTCCAGTCTGCTTCATCACCTGCAAAGAGATGCAAAAACAAAGGATATAGTATAAGAGATACAATAAAATAGCTCCTGGATAAGTAGTATTATTTAATCTGACCTGTAAACTGTAGCTGAAGATAGGAATATGGGCTTTCTGTATGGGAAGTGAAGTACAATCTGATTGGGAGAGGAACATTTCATGTTAACAGATATAACCCATCCAGTGATTAAATCCGAGTTATTCTGACATATCTCAAATTTGTATTTATAGAATAGTTTACCTGCATGTATCATTTTGCTTCTACTTAACCATTACGCGCTGTTTATGGATGGCCTGTCAGATCAAATCCCATTAAACGACTTAAAAAAAACGTAAATATTTTGGAAAATGAAGCTGCAAATGCATTTCCCTAACAAATTACACTTCAGTCATGCTGACACCTGTGCAGGTAAGTGCAGCTCTGCCCTCCATCAACACGCCATGTGTGCGCGCGCGCTCCTACATGAAGCGCAGCGCTCTGGCACATGACATATTTGGCTTTAAAGTGACGTCACGACAACGTGGGGCTCGGCAGGCAGGTCGTTCGTCAGTCTGAGAGAAGAGGAGCAGCAGGAGGAGACGGACCGTCCTCCTCTCCTCTGTAATGACAAGCTCTCATCCCCCCTCTCTCTCCAACTCCTCATCCTCCAGGATTCTCCCTCATCGCGCTCCTTCCTCCTTTCCTCACTTGCGCCTATTTTCCATCATTTCTTTTCATCCTTTTTTACTTTCTCTAAACCCCTCCTCAACCCTTAACACCTCCAAAGATGTGAGGAGATAATGAGGACCCCCTGCGTGCGCTGCTGACTTGGATCCTCCGTGCATCCTTATCATCCGCTCTCAGTGTTTTTTTCTCTCTCTCTCTCTTTTTCTTGGACGTCCATCTGCCTCTTAGAAATGTAAGCGGCGTGCTGTCAGTTCAGTGATGAAGAAGCCAACAACTTGCCCTCTTTTCCCTGCACCTTATATATTTGCTCTTTCCGATGGAGGAAAGGTATAAATGCTTTTGCGGGGAGGCAAAGTTTGAGGGCACCTGCTCACCTGTCCGCCTTTGCTTTTAATTAATATCCAGGAAGAGGACAGAACAACAGATGAAGAACTTCTGAGCAAACTGACATTTGTTCTGGCATTTTTATTTATTTTTTTAAGTGGGATTTGTCCGCCTTCTTGGAGGAATTCGATGTGCGCCACGTTGAAGGATATGGCTTAAAACGACCATGCTGGCTTTGACAGCTGGAGTAAGGTCCGTTACTTGAGTGCTTTTGTCTCTACAAACCAGAATTTGCCCCCAGACTTTGGTGGAAAGCCGTCCAAATGGGAGGGTACCTGGAGGACTGAGGCGGATTCGGCAGCCGAGATAAGATGTGGATGAAAAGAAGCGCTGCGCGCAGGTGAGATCTGTTTGCTGGGAAATTAAAATATAAAGGTCGGGATTAATAATGTCACAAAATGCTTCTTTAAACCGTCTTTTTACATTCTTTTCAAAATTTAACACCTCTTTTCACAGCAAGTCTGAGTTAAAACCTACGCCATGGCAACTTATAGCCAAACGTCGATAAAAATCCACTCGGAATTTATCATTATTAATATTATAAACAGAAAAAGAAGAAACATTATGAGAATATTTCAGGTTGTGTTTTTATTTTATTCGAAAACATTGTTTTAGTGAAGAAACAATTTTGAAAGGTTCACATCGAGGACGCTAGGGGGCGCCAACAGCATGGTTCAAACGACTCACACGCGGACAGAGAAGCCAGCGCGCGCAGAGCTGCAAGGTTAGCCCTGACAGCTCCACCTCACTGTGAAACAACATATGGGAGATGCAATTATATGATTCAGTGATTATAAGGTGACTAATATAACCCTTATGTAAATATATTGTTTTATTTACCAATAAATTAAACATTTTGATATTGAGGAGGTTTGTGCTTTAAAAGTTTATTTTTGTATTTATTTTTTTGCTTTGCAGTTCAGTTACCTAATTTTAACTTGGGTAGATAATAGTATTTCACCGGATGATACTAAAGCAGATTCTCTAAGCTTGATTTGACTAGTTTCAATGGTCTTGCTACTGAAATATGCTCTATAAAGGCACTTGCCTTGCCTTGACTGAACTGATAATATTTTCTAATTTGGTATTTTTCTATAACACTTTTTCCTACGTTTATGAAAAAGATGAAAAGCATACTTTTTAGGTTAGCCTTCTTAGTAAGTTTCCAACCAACAGCCAAAATTTGACATATAATTCTTCCATGAAGTATCTGTAATTGTTTGTTCCTAAATGAGCAACAGTCTAATGTTATTCAGGTTCTGTTACCACACGCCAAATCTTATTCCTGCCTGGCATATATAATTCCTACCCCTTTCCATGCCCTATATTTATTATGCATGACACACTCCCCACATCCTAGGCTGACCGCACAGGGTGATGGCAGTGCATGGCGTCGACAGAGCAGCAGATGCATAAGATGATGAAATGGTTTCAGATCTGGCATGGTCTAAAGTTCAAATAGATTAGTTTTTCCTTTTTGAGGATTTTTTTTTGGCACTTGCTGAGAGGTGGGGGGGCGGTGGCATCAGAGTTGAAATGCCTGGAGAAACGGCAACTGGCGCTATCTCTACAGCAGCTTGTTATAAGTTGTAAGCCTCTTTGTCTCCAATAGTAACTGAAAGGCTGCGTCGATTGCTTTTGTCATGCATTATCAGTCTCTGATGGTAAACGGATCCTCCCAGGAAAAAAAATCTTACTGTTCCTAAGGTGTTTGTTTATGTGCAATGGAAAGAGGGAGTTGTGAACTATGAGCATGTGTGGAAACAGCAACTGTACCTGTTGGAGCAGATAAAGAACAAACTGCCCTCAGAATGGAGATATGTGGGCGTAAATGTAACAGTACTCATTTAGCAAACTAAAAAAAAAAAGAACCGATGGAAAGAAAATCAAAAACACCTTTTGCTTATTATATGATGTAAATATGATATTATATGATATCTCCTTATTTATTATGTATTTGGGCGACTACTTTATTGAGACTCTCAGTACAAAAATGCCCAATAATCACATTTTATTATATACTTTAAATGACCTGACTGAAATGATGCTGTTATTACTGTAAAAACAATCTTATGTGCCATTTAATATTAAATACAAGAGTTTTACGAACAAATAGGTGATTTATAATTTGTCTTAGATCTATGTTGAGACTATATATGCAACCCCTATTAATGAAATATAAAAAGATTTAAAGATAATCTTACATGTTTGCAGCATCATTGTCTGACACTAACTCTTCAATTTGAATACATATATTCATCAGATGGGGGATGGGCCTATAAGAATAAACAATACATGTTTTAGTATCAAAGTCAATACTGGACCCCAATTGCTATCAAGCAAGAACAATAGGATGATAAAGGAGGAAAAACTTTAGTATACTGTTAAAGAACTTTAGGATAAAGATTAATTCTAGGGGGTCAGAGGTTCAGCATATCAACCATTTAATGCAATCACTTACTGTAGGAGGCATTCCAGATTCAAGCATGAGAATGTTTCTGGAGGTTAGATCTTTTTGCGAGATCTTTGATACTTTCAGCCATTTTTGCCTTCAAAGGCTGTATAAACTTCGTTAAAGGGCATCATATCATTAATTCAAATATTGATTGGCCTTAACTAAAAACTTTAATTCATTATCATTTGTTTTTACATTTTTTTTGCCAGCCAGTTATTCTATGATAATTCTTGTTCAGTGTGGATTTGTTCCCACACTGAAATAAAATGATTTTTTTTCCTCAAACGTTCTATCTGAGATAATGCAATAACAGATGCTTCTCTTAGCCTTTCTGTTAATCTTTACTGCAGTTGCCAATAACTGTAAACATCTGTTCATTAAAATGATTGAATGTTTAAATACTCAACTGAAACAATAATGCAAAAGCTATATATGGAGGATCATTTGTATTTTTGTAGTACACAAATAGGTTTTCTCATCCTGCCAATTAAATGAAAATAATGTTTTCTTTCAGCACTTACACTAATTCAATATTCTAAATGGGGTATTTGTTTTGTATTATTCGGATATAAATATGGCTGCAGGCTGTAAAAACTGCCAAGAAAATGATTGTTTGTGAGCAACGTTTGTCTTATATCTTTTTGTGCCCCTCTCATTGTAAAATATACTCCATGCACATGATGAATATTCCCAGTGGAAGATAAATGCATGTGTGATCCAAGTTGAAAGTGTCTGTAATTGTGTATAATTTGAGTTTGCTGGCCACTATTAATCTCTGCCAGGCTCTGCATCTCGGCACTAAATCTTTCAGGGACATCACAGTTTTTGCTTCCCCTCAACCAACCAACACACAGGAGATGCTATCGGGGTTCAGATTCTTGTGTCTCTATAATATAAGTGGCAGAGACACCCTTTACCTTTCCCAAGGACCTTCATTTTAAGTAGAGATGTCCCAAAGAGGTTACTGATTCCTGTGGTGTCTAAACATTTCTATCTGGATAAATATTAGATTTACTCAAGCATTGATAACACGGATGAAAAGGAAGGTTTATTAGATAATATGTAAACTGAACACTATGAACACTATGTCCTCATATCAGTATTCATGGAGAGCGTGTGCTTAGTATGCTGTGTTAGCCCTGCGTTAAATTGTGGTTTGTATCTGACTAATGGTCTAATTCGGGATAATATAACTGCCTTGATGAACAAGACCCGCTAAATACTCAAAACAGTTTAGTGACATCAGCGGTCTGCTGTTGTTGAACTGTATATGACCCGACTCTTTGCTCTCAGAACTAGCTTTCATGAGAACTCCAGGGCAAAGTATGTCCCCCACGTATGGGAGGGGGCATCAGACATCCAGATAGTCCTATGATTTAGGTGCCATCTTAATAGTCTCTATGATGGTTATTAACTGGGCCTCTCTGGAGCGTGATTAACCTAATTTGCAGTGAAATAGGCTGAGTTGCTTCTCTGAGATCCTATCTTCTGGAGGTGTATGTGCGTGTGTTCTAACCACCTGTGCTTAGCAGTCTGTCAAATTCCAGGTGGACTAGGACAGGTTATCCCCATATGATCACTAAAGACACAAAGTAAGAATCCAACTGTGGCTGTTTGACCAATTCAGAGATCCCACTCAAGTTCAGAGACATTAGAACATTTTTCAGGCTATTGATGGCAACTGAAGAAAAGTACAAAAGTCGCAGTTGCCATTGTGGTTCTTTTTACTCTGCAACACATTCTGTTAATGTATATTGGATGCTTTAGTTGAGTAGACTTGGGTTTATTTTATGGCCTCGGGGACACTGCTCACACCCTGGCTGTTAAAACTAGGCACTGTGACCAAAGAAGAAAATATTCAGTAGCATTAATATTATCTCCTTTTTTATAGGACTTCTCTAAAGTTCTTTAGTCCATGGAAGCGAGCTGCAAATCAGAAGATACTGATAAGATCTAAAAACTTCTGATGATCTTCAGACCAGGAGTGCTTTTCAACCTATCAACTATAAACTGCTTAAATCTGGAGCTGTGCATAAAATACCAACAAACTGGTGTCTGATTGAGAAATCTGATGGTAATTTAGTCCATCCAGCCCTATTCTTGCTCCTGTTCATGCATATCTATCAAAACTAAGTGTCATGTTTCCTGCCGAGGTCGGAGAGCCAAAGACAAAGTAATTGTTTCAAAAAATTTCTCCTAATTGTCTTTTCTCTTTCTGTGAGTTTTTCAGATTGAAATTCCCAAACACTTCCCAAAGTTAGATTTTCTGAGGATAACAAGCTCTAAACATAAAATTACATTTCTGTTTTATCCATTGTACTTCAATATGTAAAAAGAAAGGCAAACAAACAAATTAAAGAAAAGGTTATTCAAAAATGTAATAATGCTGCTCTGAATATGATGTTTATAAACTGCATGTTTAAAGTTTACCATATTTTTTATTATTGTAAACTGTTTAGATATACCTATCCACATGTTCGCCTCATTTTCTGCACACCTGCGAGAACTGTATCCCTGCTTTTATCTTTACTGCTTCGCTCATAAATTTGCTTAATGACCCAAATCTGCATCTTGTGTGCATCAGCAAACGGTTGGCAATGTGCTACTGATGTTAGATAAATCTTGTGCCTGATTGGCAGCCCTGGCAGTTCGCACCTTGCAGTTTGTCAAGATCAGATCCTTTGAGGTGCTACGCATGAAACATGGTTACTGGTTTTATTTTTTAGTTTTTTTAAAAGTAAAAAAGAACATGTTATTCAAGTTCATAGTGTTTCCTGCATGCAAGAAAAGGTACATCTAAAACACATCAACACATAGTCGGTCCATTAAAATATTACATTCAGTAAGTTATAAGTACCATTTTGTGTATTTTTTTACAAAATAAG